AGGGTTTTAGGGGTTCAAGGTTTGGGGTTGAGGATTTGTAAGGTTTGGGTGTTAGGGTTTAGGGTTGGTGGCGAGTTAGGGCGCGGGTTTTTTTCGGGTTTTGGGGCTACAGGACTTTCTAGTGCATTTGCCGTGGACCTGTATGGAGTTTGGTGGGGGCTTTTATAAGGGTTTTAAGAACTCTGATCGCTTTTGATAAGGGGTTTCCGGGTTTTCGGGTTGGGGGTTTGGGGGGGCCTCCCTGCAAGTAGGGGCCCTTCGGGGGTCCTGACGGTTTTGGATTGGCGCGCTGCAAGGGTTTGGCGGTTCAGGAACCGGAGTTCCCGACCTTGAGGCTTCAAGTAGGTAGTACCAAAAGTTGAGTTCCCCTAAACCCTAAACCCTAAACCCTAAACCCTAAACCCTGAACCCTAAACCCGAAACCCTAAACCCTCAATCCCCAATGCTCCGAGCTCCAAGCCTTGTTCGGGAGCTGAGGTCCTGCTCAGCGGACGAGTGCCTCGTCCTTCCCTCTAGGGCCTTCAGGCTTTGGGTTTAGGGTTTAGGGTTTAGGGTTTAGGGCCTTCCCTCTATGGCCTTCAGGGTTTGGGGTAGGTGCCGTCAGGTAGGGGCGGGGGTGCCGAGGACCCGGGCTCTGGGTCAAGGATTTAGGCTAGGGTTTGAACAGCTTCATCTCTGGTGCTGTCTCGGGTTAAGGGCTTCGGGCCTGGTGGAACTTGCAGCTGACTGGCATGCACTGCGTGAATGCTGGGGTGCCTGCTGCCACAGCTGTCTGAGGATTCTCTGCACGTCTCCAAGCTATGCGGACTGCCGGAGGGGTTCAGCACCTTGAGTCTTGAGTGTTTCAGGGTTGAGGGTTTGGGTTTGTTTCTCTGTCATATTCTCCGGGCTCTACGGTTGCCTGAAACATCATCCAGAACGGAACTGTGTTGAAGTTGCAGGGTCCCGGAACCTCATGTCCAAAACTCAAACCTCTGAACCTCGAACCTGAAACCATCGATCCTTACATTCGGAAGGACGGGGGCACTGTCAACGGCACCGTGACGAGCTGCCATGCACGCGAGACAGGCGCAGAGGGCTCGGAGTTTTAGGAGAACTACCCTAAACCCTAAACCCTAAACCCTAAACCCTAAACCCTAAAGTCATTGGGACCCCGGATTTCAGGTGCGGGTCTTGCTGGGAGTTGCAGGTTTAGGGAACCACTCAAGAGCCCTTCGCCTTAAACTCGAAACCCGAAGCCCTACACCCTGAACACTAAAGACGTAAACCCTAAACCCTAAATTTAACCCAAAACCCTAAAACCCTAAAGCCCTAAAACCCTAAAGCCTAAAACCCTAAACCCTAAAACCCTAAACCCTCATTATGGAGACCCCCAAAACCCTTTCAAGAAACCCAATTGAGGCCCAATATTTCCTTTAAAGGACCCCTAAAACCCTAGACTGAGCCAGGTTGCCCCTGCCACGCGCTTTGGGAGAAGCGGTGCAGGTTTCGGGGCCAAGACTTCTGCGTCCTAAAGACCGAGCCCTGCCCCTTGCCATAAGGCTCTGCTTACAGCTTAGGGTTCAGGGTTCAGGGTTTAGGGGTTTGGGGGTTTGGGGTTTAGGGTTTAGGGTTTAGGGTGATTTTGGTGAGGGTTTGGAGTTTGGAGGGTTTGGATCCAATGTCGGGTTGGGTCCGGAAGCGAGATCTGTACGTTGGGGTTTAGGGATGAGTTTTGTGTATGGTGAGGTTGGGATCTAGGGTTTGAGGTTTAGGCATTTGTGTGCTAAGGATTGTTCCTGAACCCTGGGCTCTAAAGCCAAACCCTAAACCCAAATCCTAAACCCTGAGCTCTAAAGCCAAACCGCAGTCCCACCAGTCATTTCCCAGGGGAAAGCAACCACAGTCGCCAAACCCTGAAGCCTCAAAGTAGACCGAATTATCAAAGACCCTACTAGGCAACCTTTGAATCCTTGTAGAACCCTCCCTAAACCCTGAACCCTAAACCCTAAACCCTATGCAGCCTTATGAAGCCCCAGAGAGTCCTTACACAAACCCTGGAGCAGCCCTCAGAAACGGTCCTAAACCCTAAACCCTAAAACCCTAATCCCTAAAGCCCTAAAGCCCTA